CTCAAAAAAAAAAAAAAAAAAAAATCCTTTGAAAGTGAGTGAATTTCTCTAAGTTTTGGTTCAGTTTAAAGACATTGGATCCTCTAATGTTGCCTTAACACTGAGCTATATTTGGGAAGTTGGCATACAGAGGGTCTGTCTTGGATTAGGTCTTAAAATACCTAAAGGATTTCCTTAAACAGGCCCAGGGTCAGATATAACAGGTGTATCACTTCTAATTTTGGAACCAGAAGCAGCCAGCTTAGACTGAGACTGTTCTACATTCATTCAGCAGGAGTTTAGATATACTTTACTTTGAATTTCTCTTTGAGTTAAAACAAGGGCGATCCCTGTTGTAAGTAGTGGCAATACTCAGGAATTGTCTTGAGTAGAATGAGTATATGCAATGTAAAGGTATTTTAAAAGAAAAGCAACAGGTTTGACCTGAAACTATATTTTTCTACAAGTGATTTCAAAGCGTTTCTTCTCTACAACATGTAACACATTTAATATTGAGACAGGGACATTTTTTCATTTGGGTAACAATAACGTTTGTATTCTCGTAAAGCAGTATAATTGGAGATAGAATAAACATTAAGAAATCAAAAACGCTCCAAGGATAGTGAATACATGATTGATAGCTTCAACTGAAAATACTGAAAAGTGTCTATCGTAGTTTTAAAATTATAATGTTGGACTCTTATCACCTGGCCTGCCTTGCCCATTGCAAGGAATTTGACTACATGTCTAAACCTATAGTAACGCTCCCTTTTCTTCTCCCTCTCCTCCACCATGGCCTGAAGACTGAATTAGTTCTTATGATTAACCATGTATTTGAATAAGGACACCAGATGCTGTTGTATTTTAGCAAAATAAAATTCTGGTGCAACAGAAGCATGCTGGATAAATTCCGGGTTCTTTTTTCTTTTTTTTTTTTTTTAAGATGGGGTTTCACCATGATGGCCAGGCTGGTCTTGAACTCCTGACCTCAGGTGTTCCACCCACCTCGGCCTCCCAAAGTGTTAGGATTACAGGCGTGAGCCACCGCGCCCGGCCAAATTCTGAGTTCTAAAGCATAATTTGTCAATTCCCTGTCATTCAACATCAGAGGATGGGAAGTTGAGCTGAAGGCTGGAACACTGGTGGAACCCGTGGCCAGTCCAGTCAGCATGTTATCAAGCAATTACAAGATGAATTTTTTAAGAAAAACAACAACAACACATAACGTCTTCTGACAGTGACATGTCTTTGTGATGGGGTGCTCAGCTACAGTGACAGAATGAACAAAAATGTCTTTGGCAAATCCTTCATCTTGCCGTAGTGCGTGAGCTGTACTTGTAATTTCTAACAGGAATCCGCAAGTCCACGGTTGATTTATGGACAGAGTGTGTCGTCCCGCACCGTGCCAGTTCGCAGAGCCTCCGCCAATTAGCTCTATTTTTTGCTTAAGCTGTTAAAGCCACCTCCATGGAAACGCCAGGAGAGCAGGCCGGGGGGAGGGGAGCAGACAGGTGCGCCCTCTGGAAATACACAAAGGGCCGACACTGCGCCGCCGTGCCCCTGGCAACTCCACGCTAGCCGGGAGCGCGCGTTTCCCGCGGCGTAGCGGCCAGGCGGCGCGCGCAGGTCGCCCCACGTCGGTCGGAGGAGCCCCCTCAGCCAGCTCGCGGACGCGGCGCCAGGGCAGCGCGAAGCCGGCTCGGGGCAGCGGCAGCGGCGCCCGCGCTGTAGGGACTTGTAGTCCGCGCGCCTCCCTGGCGCCTCCCCCGGGTAGGCCGGCTCGCGCGTTCCCGCCCGCCGCAAGCCGACTTCCTGCGGCTGCCAAGACTACACCTCCCGCCGTCCTCTCCGCTGTCGGGCTGAAAGCGAAAACAAATTCTGGGCTGCGAGGTGCTGTTCTCTGCCGGGTGCCCCCACCCACTCCCTGCCCCTCCGGCGCCCTCCAGCGAGGTGGGGAAACGAAAGGCTGCCTCTTTCTTTTTTGGTTTCCTCGGCTCCCGGCGTGGGGAGCGCGCGGGGGACGCAGGCCTCGCTTCACCTGAGCCGGCCCAGCGTGCCTGCTGGGGGCGGGGGTTTTCTCGCTTCTCACCAGTAGGGACCAGGAAACTTGAGGGGGCGGCGACCCCCTGCCCGGGTCCTGAGTCGGGCAGGGAGGCCGTCGGGAAGTGACTGCTCACTCTCGGGGTTTTCCTTAATCCCGCTCCCCCCGTTTCTCGTGGCGCGTGTTCGCTCCGAGGAGGCGGCAGCGTGCGGACAGCCATGCATTAGGCAGGGCTCCCCTATGCTCCCGGAAAGCGCGGACCGCTGCCTCGGGCCGCCGCCGCCGCCGCCTGCAGCCGCTCGCGGAGCCCGAGCCACAGCCCGAGCCGCCGCCTGCCCCAGGCCGGGGCGTCCAGCAGCCGGCGGCCTGGCCATGTGGGGCTAGCTCTCACCGCGCCTGGCCTGCAGCAGGACCAGCAACATGGAGGCGGCCGTCGGCGTCCCCGACGGCGGGGACCAGGGCGGCGCGGGGCCCCGCGAGGACGCGACGCCCATGGACGCCTATCTGCGGAAACTGGGCTTGTATCGGAAATTGGTCGCCAAGGACGGGTCGTGCCTGTTCCGGGCGGTGGCGGAGCAGGTAACTGGGGGGCGAAGGGAGGCGGGGACGGCCCGTCGGGTATGGGTGGGGAGGCAGCTGCGGGCTATCCGGGCCGCCCGCGTCCGGGGCTGCGCGTGCCCTCGCTGTCGTCATAGCGCCCCATTGTAATGCCGGAGTGGGACGCTGCTTTGGGTCTGAAACGTGCAAATCGAAACTTAAAAGCCGGCAAATTAACGGGGTGTCGTTTTTCCTGGTGAGGAAATAATGAGTTGAGGACAACTTGCGAGGCCTGCTCGGAGCTTGTGCAGTTATTTATTGCTGGGGACCTGGCGACATGATATTTTTCACTTCTTTTCCGCATTCACCTTCCCTTCGTTCAAGAAGCACCACGCTCACCCCACTCCAGTAAACCAAGTGTTTACTAGAAGTGGTGGATCAAACTTTACTTGTGGAACATATTTTGGTTTGCTGCTGGACTTTGGAATGTGGGGTAGTCAAGTTCGCCCATGTCGCTTGAATCAAATGGGCAAACTGCCGCTTGAGAAAACCAACCTTTTACAAATATAGAATATTTTGAAGGATTTGTCGTTCGGTAGGTCCCACGCTTTATTATGCTCTGCTAGGCTGTGTAGGTATACTAAACGGAACTGACTTTTTTTTTTTAAAAAAGCCTGTTTTGGTGTTGGTAGTAGAAAGGGTACGTGTAACTACCGGAGCTTTTCAAAACCACTTTCTAACACAGTTGCTCAGGAAGATTTTTCTGATTTTTTTATTTGAGAGCGCTTATTCCGTGTTATATAACACTTTATGTTGTAGGTGTGCAGTCACCAAAACTCATCCTATATTGAAACATAGCTGCCGAAGTAGCTGGATAAAAGTTTCTGCCCTGGTGTGTCTTTCAGACCTCTCACATGTGTTTTCCTTTGACCTAGGACCTGCTCCCCATACCCGATCGCACACTCCTCCCTACCCCCCTGTGGAGTTATTATGATGTTTGTTCTTTTTTTGTTTTCCCCCTCAACTTTTTTGAATGCTAAATAACTTTTAAAATTTTTGTTTGTGAGTGAATGTTTCACTTAACATCCAGAGACCAGTCTGTTCTCATATTTTTAAACATTAAAAGGCAAGCCATTTATTTACCATAGGTAGGGGAAAATCTTTTTTTCTTTTTTCTTTTTTTGAAACGGAGTCTCACTGTGTCGCCCAGGCGGGAGTGCGGTGGCTCGATCTCGGCTTACTGCAATCTCTGTCTCCCGGGTTCAAGCGAGTCTCTTGCCTCAGGCTCCCGAGTAGCTGGGACTACAGGCATGTGCTACCATACCCGGCTTTTTTTTGTGTGTGTGTGTTTTTAGTAGAGACCGGGTTTCACAGTGCTGGCCAGGTGCTGGGATTACTGGCGTTAGCCACCGCGCTCCGCCAAAAATCTTTAAAACAAGAAATTGATTTAACGGACGCAAACCTTTGCTTTATGTTTTGGACATTGCCATTGAAATATTATTCTGAAAGCTCCCTAAACCAGGTTTTGCCCATTAGACTTTTCTCAGTTTTCAATGTTGCTGTGGGGTATGGTCACACCCACGTACTCCCTCCATTCTTTATTTTTAGTAGGTAAACAGTCTTCCCCGTTTGTGAATTTTCTGAATCTCTGTCTGTCCTGCTTCCTCTGTCTCAGCCTCCTTGAACTCCTCAGCACCTCCAAAACCCTAGGGTAGAGGTGGACGTGGTTTCAGCCCATGTTTATTACCTGCTGTTAGAGCTAGCATGAGTTTGGTAAGTAAGGAGGCAGGTAAGGCGGTAAATAAATGGCGGTAAGGGAAGCTAGGAACTTACTTGGATTTGAGTTATCTGAGTCCTAGTTTATATTGAAGCAGAGAGGTGTGTGCTTTCCATAGTGCATACCGTAAATAATACTTGGTGGTCTTGATTATACAGAAGCCTCTCTGTTATTGTAGCAGGATCTGTTATTAAGTAGAAAGGGGGCAAGGGCTAGTTTACACTAAAAACTCTTGGTTAGATCAGATAACACATTTTATTGTATTTTGTAATGGGATTTAAGTTAGGCATAAGGGACTTCCCTTTCCAGTTATGTGACTCAGTTTTAGTCTGATGAGCTTAGCTCAAGACCTTGAACTTTGGGGCAAGTTCAGTTATTCAATAAAGGACAGGTGTAGCCATCATCGCCAAAGGCAAAATGTGAAAAAAGGAAGTAATACCAATATCAGGCTTCCCTTTTAAAATGTGTACCAAGGATTTATAGTTTTGCCAACAATTCTTCTATAAAATCACAAATATCATTTCTCAGAAGGAGTCAGAGTTAATAATCTAAGTGACAGTTTTTAAAGAGGGGGAGGAGACTTGAGTTAGGATTTTGGTCTTTCTCTCCAAATTATCTGATTTAGATAGGCCATTTCCCTTTTACACTTGTGGATTTGGGCCTGCAGGAGCTCTGACCTGAATCAGCACCATAGCCATGGAGCTAAAAATAGGGCACTCTTAGAGGACTTGCTAAAACAGTGTCTCAGCCTTTTCCAGTATTTATCAACTATCTTGTCCCAAGTAAAAATGGGAAAGCCTTCTAGTTTGCTTTCATGTATATATTAATTTGCAGAGATGTTTGTCATACTACTAGAATTCTTCCTGAGTGTTCTTAAACTTGCACAATAATTTACATTTTAAAAAGTTGTTATTTAACCTTGCTTTTATTGCAATGCTTGACTTTGCAAATTACCAGCATTCTCACACTTTATGGAAGTTGCTAAGAATTTTGCTTCTGAGCAGCAGGTTCAGATAGATCGCATGTGCCAAAATCTTTGATAAAAAAGGAGAAAAAACAATAGATACGCCTACCATTGTTTTTACTAACTTATGTCTGCCACCTGTTGCTGGGTAAATGGCTTAAAGACTACCTCCACTTTGCTAATGGCAGAGGAAAGCCCTATCAGGTGACACTGTGGTTTATTCATACTAATAATACCGTGATTCATAATAGTGTCTAACATAGCTTCTGTGAAAAAAGTGTTGCTAAATGTCATTTGTTGAATTGGCAAAAACATTCTATGGTCGTTATTTTTATATATAGATAGTCCTTTTGGTCATGGACTCTTAGGATATATAAGAATACATTTTCATAGTGTCCAAAAACAGCAGTGAAGATAGAATCAGTTAAACTGAAAACCAGCTATTACACTGAAAACAAACTCATTGCTAACTTCAACAGGTGGATCTTCAGTGTATCTTAGTGTAATAGGACATATTAGCCGTCCAGGCAGTTGTGCCTGTGGTTCTGTGGGTGTAAATGAGCTTCGGCTGTTATCCAAGAGAGATGTAGAATGTGCAGCTGGAGCCTCCCTTTTCCCAGTTTCTCTACTTACCGTTAAACTAAAGGAAGAACCACTCAATCGGATCTGTAACTTTTTTTTTGAGACAGAGTCTCACTCTATTTGCCCAGGCTGGAGTGCTGTGGCATGGTCTCAGCTCACTGCAACCTCCACCTCCCAGGTTCAAGCGATTATCCTGCATCAGCCTCCCAAATAGCTGGGACTACAGGCATGTACCACCATGCCCGGCTAATTTTTTTTGTATTTTCAGTAGAGATGGGGTTTTACCATGTTGACCAGGCTAGTCTCAAACTTGTGACCTCAGGTGATACACCCTCCCCGGCTTCCCAAAGTGCTGGGATTACAGGTGTGGCCACCATGCCTGGCCAGGATCTGTAACTCTTAAAGCTACTTTCTATTAATATAAATTCTCAAGAGGCCTTGATAGCTGTTTGAAATGTGTTATTTTAAGTGCGTCTGGTTTTTTTTTTTTTTTTTTTTTACCACCTTTTAAGTTACAGGAATATTTTGAGACTCTTTGTTATTGTATTTAATTTTAATCTCCTTTAAGTATGTTAAAGAATTGGGAGCCAGGACCAGGCGTGGTGGCTCATGCCTGTAATCCCAGCACTTTGAGATGCCGAGGTGGGCAGATCACCTGATGTCAGGAGTTTGAAACTAGCCTGGCCAACATGGTGAAACCCCGTCTTGACTAAAAATGCAAAAATTAGCTGGACCTGGTGGCATGTGCCGGTAATCTCAGCTACTTGGGAGACTGAGGCAGGAGAATCACTTGAACACGTGAGGCGGAGGTTGCAGTGAGCTATCACACCACTGCACTCCAGCTTGGGCGGATAGAGTAAGACTATCTCAAAAAAAGAAAGAATTGGGAGCTTGCAAGAAGGAAGCACTGGATAAGAAATAGTTGTATAAATTCACAGCTTTAGAATTTTAGTAAAAGACTGCATGCCAGTAAGTTGTCTCTCTGTTGAACTGGTTGTTTAATAGAAGAATATGAAAACTACAAAGTGAGAAGATCTGGTTCATACTTTGTAGGTTGGTACTTTACAATTTGGGACATAAAAACAAACCCCAAACCTCTTGGGATGATATCACACAGCATTTTTGCACCCCATATGCTGCCTACTTGGATGTTCTTTCTCATCTTGTAAATTTGATCACCAGGGAAAGAATGAGTGCCTTAAGTTTTCTGAAACCATAGTGGAGTTAAATTCATACATAGAGCCACTAAGTGAATTCAGAATTAATGAGAAAAAAAAAACTAGTCTCTTAGAGGCTGAAAGCCTCAGAGTGTATTCCTGCTGAAGTTGCCAGCTTGTTTTTCAGTGTGTGTAGGATGAGGTTAAGTGTGTCATAGCATGGACTTTGTTAGCTCTTCATTGTGAAGATAAAGTTATTGTGGAGGGATGGACAAGGGAGGAAAGTATCCTGAATTTACAAAGATGTCCTAAAGAAGAGAGCCTAATTACAAAATTTGGCTTAAGTAGTATTGTTTGTATATGTCATGCTATTGCTGTGCTTAGTTAGAAGAGGTAGGAATGAGTAAAGATACTGAAATTATAGAAAGGGAAATGGAGGAAGACTGATAATCTATTGCCTGTTAGATTATTTTGGGTGTAAAAGAAAACATTAGCTTGTAACTTGAGTGCATTTTTAACCAAATGCTTAATAGTGTGTTTGTTGCCTTTTCTTTTTAGGTATTGCACTCTCAATCTCGCCATGTTGAAGTCAGAATGGCCTGTATTCACTATCTTCGAGAGAATAGAGAGAAATTTGAAGCGGTAACTTGTAATTTCAAACATGTAATGGTGTCTTGACTTGAATTTACATTTTGGTTTTTGGAATTGTTTTAGGCTTGGTGCGGTGGCCTAATCACTGCACGATCACGCTGGTAATCCCAGCACTTTGGGAAGCCCAGGTGGGCGGATCATGAGGTCAAGAAATCGAGACCATCCTGCCCAACACGGTGAAACCCCGTCTCTACTAAAAATACAAAAGTTAGCTGGATGTGGTGGTGCGTGCCTGTAGTCCCAGCTGCTCGCGAGGCTGAGGCAGGAGAATCGTTTGAACCCAGAAGGAGGAGGTTGCGGTGAGCCAAGATTGTGCCACTGCACTCCATCCTGGTGACAGAGGGAGACTCCATCTCAAAAAAAAAGGAAGTGTTCTCGTAGAAATTTCAGACTGGATCTTAATGCAGGTTATGAAAATAACACTTAACAAAAAAACCTTTTTTACTGAACTCAGTCCAGTTACATTGTTAACATTATTTTCTAGGCTGTTTTATGTTTTGCATTTATTTGGACATTTAGAAAGCTGCTATGATAGATAAGATGCTGAGTTGTGGGGGATGGAAAGATGACCTGGACAAGGCCTTTGCATACTAAGAGTGGGCTTTGTCTGACATGGTCAGGGAATTGGGGGTGTTGTGATTAATAGTGGCTTCTGTGATTGGTAACTTTCTATAAATTAAAAAAAAAAAAAATTCAGGTGGGCCGGGCATGGTGGCTCAAGCCTGTGATCCAAGCACTTTGGAGGCCAAGGCGGGGGGATCAACTGAGGTTGAGAGTTTAAGACCTGCCTGACCAACATGGTGAAACCCTGTACTTAAAGAAAAAAATAAGATAAGAAATTTAAATTAAAAAAAAAAAAAAAATTCAGGTCAGGCATGGTGGCTCATGCCTGTAAGTAATCCCAGTACTTTGTGAGGCTAGGAGTTCAAGACTAGCCTGGCCAACATGGCAAAACCCTGTGTCTACTAAAAATGCAAAAGAAATTAGCTGGGTGTGGTAGCACATGCCTGTAGTCTCAGCTACTCTTGAGGCTGAGGCATGAGGATTGCTTGAACCCAGGAGGCAGAGGTTGCAGTGAGCCGGGTTGCGCCACTGCACTCCAACCTGGGTGACAGTGAGACTCTGAAAAAAAAAAAAAAAATCAGACTTGCAGTGTAAAAAATATGCTGAGTGTAAGTAATGCTGAACTCTTAATTTTATCAGAAAACATTTATAGGTTTTTAATTTTCAGGGTTCAGTATGAACTCATATCAGAACACTGTATTATGTAAGTAGTAATTAATAGTTAATAAAATGTTGCATAACAGCTTAGTATAATTTTCTCAGTAATATGTGAAATAAGATGCCACAATGACCTGTTTTCATTTTACACTCAAAGTCTTACAGGATTTATTACTTATTGGTTTTAAGACCTAGAATTATGTAACCTGACAACTTTGGATGGTACTTCCCACAGTTGACTGGTAGAGAACATTGATACAATACTTTGCAAATGATAGGCTTGAAACCTTGATTTATTAGGAAAAAAACAACTGATAACAGAGGCTAGATAAGAGAGTACAAAGGTGTAGAGAAAGGAAGTGGGGAGGTAGAGTGGTCTTTAAATTAATTCTTATTAATCATTGGCCCCAGAGGGTAAAACTGTAGATAATAATGGACATTGTTAACTTTGGTTGAGAGTGGTTATTATGCTCCAGGCATTGTTTTAAGTACTTTGCATATATTTTTTTCAGTCCATGTAATCTTGTGGGGTATGATCAGAGATTGAAAGTTCCATGGGGAAAAGTTTCACTTTCCTTATAATACGAACCTTCAGGTAGTTTCGGTTGTCCAGAATTGGAAAGAGATGTTATAGAAAGGATTATGCCTTGTTACTGACATTGGTCAGCCATGGCATAGATGGACGCTTTCTGCTCGGAAAGGAGACTCTCAGATAGGATGCAGGCTTGTGTCAGAATTCTGCAATCTCTTGTAACTTTAGATGGTCTTGTGGTTTTGTTTTTTTCTCCGTAGACCTGTAATCATCTAATACAGAACAGTAGCCCTTGATTGGTGGGCTCTTTAATGTATATGGCTCTTTTATTATAAATATATGTATACACACAAACACACACACACACACGTATAATATATCTATTTTTGAGACAGAGTCTCTGTCACCCAGGCTGGAATGCAGTGTCGTGATCTCGGCTGACTGCAACCTCTGTCTCCCTGGTTCAAGCAATTCCCCTGCCTCAGCCCGCCAAGTAGTTGGGATTACAGGAGCTTGCCACCACACCCAGCTAAATATTTTGGATTTTTAGTAGAGACCGGGTTTCACTGTGTTGGTCAGACTGGCCTCAAACTCCTGACCTCATGATCCGCCTGCCTCAGCCTCCCAAAGTGCTGGGATTACAGGTGTGAGCCTCTGCGCCGGGCCAACGTTATATAATCTATAAAGAATTAATCTCAGTCTTAAAGTCCAAGGATTTTTGAAAGATTTTTGTAGACTAGGGAGTATACTTTAATGTCTTTAAGTATGTCACTTTGCTAAATCAACTGGGACTGTAATTTAAATACAATTTGGTGATTCAACAAATGTCTTAGAGATTTCTCAAATGAATGCGATTGCTATGAAAGAAACATAAAAAAGGTAGGGTTATTACACAGCTTGAATAAACTCTGTTTTTATGTCAAAGTTAAAATGAAGCAAGCTGTATTAGAAGAATCTTGTTGACGCTTCAAAATATTTTTAGCCAGGCTGGGCACGGTGGCTCAAGCCTGTAATCCCAGCACTTTGGGAGGCCGAGGCGGGTGGATCACGAGGTCAAGAGATCGAGACCATCCTGGTCAACATGGTGAAACCCCGTCTCTACTAAAACTACAAAAAATTAGCTGGGCATGGTGGTGTGTGCCTGTAATCCCAGCTACTCAGGAGGCTGAGGCAGGAGAATTGCCTGAACCCAGGAGGCGGAGGTTGCGGTGAGCCGAGATTGCGCCTTTGCACTCCAGCCTGGGTAACAAGAGCGAAACTCCGTCTCGAAAAAAAAAAATATATATATATTTTTAGCCTTAATAGTCCTCATTGCTATTTCTTGTATCACTGACCTGACAGACAATGAGTAGTCTTATTTGTATTACTAAGCTATACTATTTCTTAGCTAGTAAGTCAGTCTTTACTTTATTCTCTTCTATACACTGGCCACTACCAAGTTAAAGCACTGCTTTCATCATATGATTTCTCTGTTCAGAATGTCACCTGCAGTGACCTTGAATGGCCTTTCCCATCTAGTCTGTAAGTACTGCCTAGGCTTCAGGCCCTGTCAACAGGCCCCCATTTGGGTTCCTCTCCCACTCAGTTCTACAACAGATTTTCCTGCTCCAGCTGGCCAGATCGCTTATCTTCCCAACACAGTTTTTGCTCTTCCTCCTCACGCCACATTGGCCCTCCTTTCGGGTATCAGTTCCCTGTTCCTATCCAGATCCTGTCCAGCATTCATCTTGAGTCACTCTGCTTTCAGGAAATCTTTCCTGACAAAATTTCCTTCTTTAAATTCTTTCATATGTTTATGGTCTTTAGTGATTACTGTATGTTTTCATAATTATATTATTATTTTTAAATAATACTGATGTATTTTAGGTTTATGTACAAACTCAGTAATTCACAGTGAATATTGTTTACACAGCAAAGTGGTTAACTTTTGGCCTGTTGCTTAGATGACATTTCTTTTTTTTTTTTTTTTAATATACAATTTCACTTTCAGATCGCTCATCATAAGTGTATAGAACACAATTGATTCTTGTATGTTGATCTTGTACCCTGCTTTTTTTTTTTTTTTTTTTTTAATACAACATTTCTAATAGATTTTTTTTTTTGTAGTTTATAGAAGGATCATTTGAAGAATATTTAAAGCGTTTGGAAAATCCACAGGTATGTGATAATCTTCTAGTATATTTGTATTTTTATATATCCAAATAATGTATTTAAAATTCATTAAAATGGAAGATTACTATTACAGTGTTTAGAGGAGTTGCAGTGACAGTGTACCCTATTTCCTTATAAACATTTCCTACACATTTTATGCAGCATTTAAGTTGGAGCTGTGTATTAGAGGTTGCTTCACTAAGGCATAGTTGTGCTATTTTATCTTTGCCAAAATGGCACGTAAGTGTGGTATAAAAGGCTGAAATAATACTGGTGATGATTTTCAGAATGCTGTGTTGGTGTATGTATGGAATTTGAACGGGGGAAGTTTGATTTCTTCCTAGGCAACTGAGAAGGCAGAGTTCTTTCATGCAGGTTCCAGTTTCCATGATCAGCTCGTGAAGAGGGAATAGACTGTTGAGACTGAAAAGGACAGCACATACCCACCAACTCCTGCTGCTATACTTTTTCAGCACATACCCACCAACCCCTCCTGCTATACTTTTTTTTATATGTTGATATAAAAAGGATTTTTCTTTATTTTTTTTTCTGTTTACAAAACTAACATTCTCACTGTAAAAATCCAAATATCTTGGAATACCATTTACAATGTTAGGATTTCCCATCATTCACTGTTAAAGTAAAAATAACATTGGCAAAGAAAAAAGCTAAGAAAAGTTAGGGTGTAAAAGGAATGTAATATAGGAACAAGGGTGTTTGATTGATGACTGGTGTATCCATTTGGTTGCCTAACACTAATTTGAGTGCTTATGATGGGCCAAGAATTCCTGGTCACCCTGGGGATGCAGAGATAATGTAGATAACAAAAAAGTTTCCCTGTCATAGGAAAGATAGTCAATACAAGCTAGAAAAGTAGATTTGTCAAAAGAGGTATAGCTGTGATGCTGTAGGCAGTTAGAGTGTTATTTCTAGCTGGGTAGGCAAAAGCAACAGTTTGAGAGTGAGTTCGTATTTGAAGTCTGAATAGATTCTAAATAGGAAATGCCTGGTCTCAGGGGCATTCCAGGCAGTGAAAACTGTCAGCGAGGCAGATTCAGAAAACAGTTCTGATTGTGTGAAGCCTTGGGCATGTGAAGGTAAAAAGTAGTGAGAAAGAGGTTGGAAGGCAGGTTGGGGGCCACACTGGGAGAGCCTACAGTGCTAGCATCAGTAGTTTGGAGCTTATGCTTCAGACCCATGTTTCTCAGAAATTGTGATCTGTAGGTTATCTGTATCAAAATCACTTGATGTGCATGTGAAAATGCAGATTCCCTGGCCTCTATTCCAGACCCGAATCATGGTCTCTGGGCCTGGGGCCTGGGCATCAGGCACTGGGAAGCCACATAGGGTTTTTGGGGCAGGAAGTCAGAGTAGTGATTGTAGTCCTGTTTCCAACACATTGCCTGTCTACCACTGCTTTATTTTTCTTTGTAGTGCTTATGCCATTTAATATACTGTGTATTTTGTTTGTCTTCTTCCTACTTGAATTAAGCTCCATGAGCAGAGTTCTATATGTTTTGTTTACTGCTGTGTCCCAGAGCTAAGGGATTTTGTTGACTGAAGGGTTGGATGGCATTTTGTTGACTGACTGGACAGATGAAAGAATATTGTGTAAAAATAGTTTGAGGTAGATGGGATTAGAGACAGAAAGATCCATTTTAAAATGTTTTAAAGTGCACACATTGTATTAAGTGTAAAAAGGAGTATTACTCCAGTTTTAGAGACAAATATCATTGAAGGCCTTTTCTCTAAATCCAATCCAGAGTATATATATATATTTTTTGTAAGTCTGAAACTGAATTTGACCCAAATACTGTGATCACATATTCATTTTCCTGAAGTCTACATTTTTTTTTTTTTTTAGTTTATAAGCCTCTTTGAAGGCAGGCATTGTATGTATATTTTTATTACTTTGGAATTCCCATAGTTACCTTTTAATTTGGGGTACCTAATTCATGATCAGTTTGTGTGTGCAGAATGTGTGTTAAGTACATGTTATGTTATGTGTAACAGATGGGAAAGATAAACACCAGAATGTTATTATCTCCAAATGGCAAATATATATGATTTTTTTTTTTACTTCCTTTAGAAAAAATAAAAAATGATAAAGGCCATTTATTACTTTGTATCAGAAAAACCCCACCGTGTTGTTTCACAATAATTTCTATGCAGTAGGGTTAGGTCTGTGAGGATTTGAGCTAGGCTAGGCATAATAGGAGTGGAGAGAAGGGGACAGAGGGAGGAAATGAGGCAGTGAACTGAACTGAGACTCTTTGATTTGTGGTCTGTGGGAAAGGAAGGTGTAAATGTTGGTGTGGTTTAGAACATGTGGGATAGATTGTACCTCCCCCTCATAGTGGAGGCTGGCCAGGTTTCTTTCTGATAAACACAAGACATTCTTATGATCTCCCCAGTCTGATCAGATCTCTTCCTCAGATGTCTTAGGTATCTTATGAACAGTTTTTTTTTTTGTTACTAGCAAATATTTATAAATAACAAATATTTATAAATCTTCATTCTGTTTTTTATTTTTGCCTTCCTGGGCCGGGTTCAGTGGCTCATGGCTATAATCCCAACACTTAAGGCAGCAGATGTGGGCAGATCACTTGAGGCCAGTAGTTCAAGATGATGAAACCCCGTCTCTACCAAAAATGCAAAAATATTAGCTGGGTGTGGTGGCATGCACTTGTCTCAGCTACTTGGAAGGATGAGGCAGGAGAGTCTCTTGAACCTGGGACGTGGAGGTTGCAGAGAGCCAAGATTATGCCACTGTACTCCAGCATGGGCAACAGGGTGAGACTCTGTCTCAAAAAATAAATAATCTTTTTTTTTTTTGCCTTTCTGATATATGGGTGTATAAAATGAAAACAGAAACCAATTGGCAGATAGTTGATGGATACAGTCAGTTGCTTCATCCAGTTCTCAGAGGAGGAAAGCGTCTTTATCCTTATAAAATAATAAGTAATAGTGGAACATTTTGAAAGATACTTCAAACTTGTGCAAGAATGTGTTTTCTTCAGCTTTTAGGTAAAATTGACAAATGAAATTCATCGATTTTAAATGTACGATTTGAGGAGATTTGACAAATGTATACACTTATGTAACCACCACCACAAACATCATAAGGGACATTTCCATCACTCCAGAAAGTTTCCTTTTGCCTTTTTGCAGTTACACCCCTTCCCCAACCCCTGGTTCCTGGCAAGCACTGATTTGCTTTCTAAGTTTTGCTGTTTCTAGATATGCATAAATGGAATGATATAGTTTGTAGCCTTATGTGTTTGGCTTCTTTCACGTAGCCTATTGGAAACACTAAAATTCATTCATGCGTTTAGCAGTAGTTTGTTCCTTTGTATAAGAAAATAATCTACTTTATGTATGTTATCTATTAACAACCTGTGTATACATTTACAAGCTGATTGATATTTAAGTTCTCTCCAGTTTTGGGTTGTTAAAATTGAAGCTGTTGTGAACAGTTGCTTATAAATCTTTGTGTAGACATGTTTTCTTTTTCCTTGGATTAATACCTGAGAGCAAAATTGTTGGGTCATCTGGTAAATATATTTTTAACTTAAGAGAAAACTGCCAAACGTTTTGAAGTGACCGTACCATTTTGCTTTCTCATCAGCAATATTAGGAGAATTTCAGTTTCTCCACATTGCCAGAACTGTTTGTGATGTAACTTGCATTTCTCTAATGATGTTGAGCATCTTTTCATGTGCTTATTTGTCGTTCATATGATTTTATTGGTAAAATGTCTGTTCATAGGTTTTTGTCCATTTTTTTAATTGCTGTTGTTCTTACTGAATTTTACTAGTTCTTTATACTGGATGTAAGTCCCTTATTGGATATATATTTTGCAAATACATTCTTCTAGTTTGTATTTTGGCTTTTCATTTTTTTTTTAAATTTTTATTTTATCATATTTATTTATTTATTGAGACAGAGTCTCACTCTGTTGCCCAGGCTGAAGTACAGTGACATGGTTTGCACTCACTGCAGCCTCTGCCTCCAGAGTTCAATGATTCCCCCTCCTCGGCCTCCCTAGTAGTTGGGATTACAAGGTTGGCTTTTCATTTTCATAACAATGTCTTTTGAGGAACAAGAGGTTAACATTGATGACTATTTTTTTTTTTTTTTTCAATGACAGGGTTTCACCATATTGGTCAGGCTGGTCTTGAACTTCTGACCTCAGGTGATCTGCCTGCCTCAGCCTCCCAAAGTGCTGGGATTACAGGAGTGAGCCGCCGCGCCCAGCAACATTGATGACTATTGAAGAACATTTAAGTTATGTAATTTTGATATAGTATGGTTTATTATTTAAAACATTTTGAAGGATTTTTTTCTTTTTACAAGGCCAGTCATAAAAATGCTAATTAAGTAAAATTATAGCATTAAAGTGTAAGAGTTGTAGTAGAACATTGACTTTTGTTTTGTTTTGTTTTGTTTCGTTTTTAATAATTTAAAAGTGACACTGCTTGGGGAAGATTTTAGAATATCCATTGTTTGCCTAACCAGACTACAACAGACTTTATTCTGAAGATAATTATAAAAAAGTACATTATTCTCAGTAGCATTTTGTTGAGACTCATAGAATTTTTCATTTTTTATTTATTTAATTTTTTGAGATGGCGTTTCTCTCTTGTTGCACAGGCTGAAGTGCAGTGATGTGATCTCAGCTCACTGCAGCCTCTGCCTTCCAGGTTCAAGCAATTCTCCTGTCTCAGCCTCCTGAATAGGTGGGATTACAAGTGCCCGCTATCACGCCCGGCTAATTTTTGTATTTTTTAGTAGAGATGGAGTTTCACCATGTTGGCTAGGCTGGTCCTGAACTCCTGATCTTAGGTAGTCCACCCGTCTGGGCCTCCCAAAGTGCTGGGATTACAAGTGTGAGCCACTGTGCCCTGCAGAATTTTTCATTTTTTTTTAAAGTGATGTAGTACTACTTCTATAAAAATTAGAAATGTAGTTTATATGTTTGATCTAAACAGAGTCATATCAGCGAACAGTGTCCTCTATACAGCGGATATCATTTGTAGCAGTTTGTGAGAAGCCATGATTGTTAGGCTGAGGCTTATTTTAACCCATTTTAATATATGGCACCTATTTCATTTTGGAAATCAGAGCTAACTTTTAAGAACTATTGGAAAGTCTCTGGGGGATAGATTGTCCTGGTTTAAGATCAAAGCATTGTTTAAAATATTTTCCTTATTTCAGTTTTTCTTTTCTTTCAAGGACTAAGTGGCAGCATTCATTTACCCAAGCTCATTGTTTTTAGTAACTTAATGTATTAAGTCTTTACTGACTTCAGAGTACTATAGAAATATATTCTTATGGTAAAAGATTTTAAAATATACATGTCTATAGAATTAAGGGTGAAAATTCTTTATTTTTCCTCATGTTAACTTTCCTGTCTCTATTGCCACTTTAGGATGTATCCTCCCCATCCCCTTTCTATGTGTGTGCATGTACCAATATATATGCCTTTTTGTTTGTTTTTCACAAATAGGATTCTTTTACCATGATTTACTCTTAAAACTTGACTGGTTTTTCTAGGTCATTTCATATGGTTATCACCTCATTCATTTCAGTGAATGCAAGGTATTCTATAGTGTGGATGAAACATGAATTATTTTACCATTTCTTAGGAATCTTAGGGGCTTTTTTTTCTTTTTTTGGTTTAACACTATTACAAATAACTCTCAGTGACATCATTATTTTACATACACTTTTATAGACGTGAAATATTTCTTTATGATAGATTTGTAGAATTTGAATTGCTGGGTCAAAGGGTATATGGGACATATTAAATTTTGAAATATACTGGCCATTTGCCCTTCAGAAAGGCTTTAAGTGACTTTTCTAAGGAATGTAGAATTTTCCTTGTTTTCAGAATGATTGCTAAGACACTGCTCTCTTTTATACCTTCATTTACCCTGAAGGTAAGAGACCTTCTGCCCTTTTTTATACTTCCTGATTTTCTACTTCAATTGAATATTTCATTTCCTGAGCTTAAACCATGTGCCAGGCTCTCTCCTGGGGGCTAGGCTGAAGGATAGCCCTTGCTTTCAATAAGTTCTCAACTAGGATCGGGTGTAGTGGCTCATGCTTGTAATCTCAGCACTTTGGGGGGCTGAGATGGGCGAATCACCTGAGGTTGGGAGTTTGAGACCAGCCTGACCAAGATGGAGAAACCCTGTCTCTACTAAAAATGAAAAATTAGCCGGGCGTGGTGGCACGTGCCAGTAATCCCAGCTACTCAGGAGGCTGAGGCAGGAGAATTACTTGAACCTGGGATTTGGAGGTTGCAGTAAGCTGAGATCCTGCCATCTTGGTCTAGCCTGGGCAAAAAGAACGAAATTCCATCTCAAAAAAAAAAAAAAGGTTCTCAACCTACAGATGCCATGCTGTGGTCTTGCCACACCAATAGGAACTGTCATTTCACTC